CCCCCCCCCCCCCACAAACTCCCTGCCTCAAAATTAGCTGGGCCTCACATTAAGACTGGAGGCAGCATGTCTGCCATGGCATGCCTTTGGAGGGCATTATTTTCCTCAGTTCCTTCTGTCACATTGGACTTCCAAAAGGAAGACTCAGGCCTTGATGACATGGTAACGAATAACTAGGATGGACGTTTACAGTGGAGCCTCGTTTGCGGCCCACGCAATATTTGATGGTGTAGGATAGACTCAGAGACCTGATTATGCGCGCCTTTTCCTTTCATCCGTTGCTTTATCACCTGTCTTAGTTGCTGACTCCTTGGGGATATCCGATTATGCCTTTTTGTCCCGTCCATTGCTTTCACGCTTGTCTTAGTTGCCAGCTCTTTGAGGCAGGCCTGTATCTGTGTGTGTGTGTCAGTAGTTTACCCAGCCCAATTGAGCTGCTGTCCTGACTGAGGCATCTGGGCACTAACAGATCATAAATACTGAACAAAACCAAAGGGACCCTCTCTGTCCCTGCAAAAGTACTCTGTCCAAGGCGGGCTCTTGTTCTACTTCCGTGTTGTGCAGGACCCCATGAAAAGCCTTCTCAAGCCAGCTCAGACAAGTGGACAGGGACAAATCCTGAAATCCTTTCCAACACAAGACTCATTGAAATCCATGTAAGGACGAAGCAAAGATGTCAGCACTTGGCCAGGGCATTTTCGAGCAAAGGATTGAGAACAAAAGGCAAATCTTCTTATCGCAGCGCTCAGCAGGCAAAGCACCTCGGAGAGGCGCTTGCTTCAGAAAGACCATACTCTCATCTTTGCCCTCATTGCTCCCAAAGCAAGAGCTGCTGCATTGGTAAGGAAGCAGCATAAGGACATTTATTTTACTGTAGGACACATCACAACCACAGAGCCACCCTAGCAACCACCACTGCACAATGGCCACAATAAGGATGTGCTGTTAGAAGATCCCTTCGGATTCAATTCCAGAGAGGCACAAACAGCCTTGTCAAAGGTGGAGGAGGAGGTGTGCATGCACAAAGACAGATTTTAAGTCTCCCCCTCCTTTCTGGCAATCCTTTATAATGTAGCATTTCCTTCCATTTATAGTCAGAAATCAAGGTTTATGGTTTAATTGGCATGCTTCAGCCTGCGGATCACGCAGCAACCTGAATCTGTCAAGATATCTCGGGAAAGACACTGAGTCATTATTTCTGGCTCCCTATCATCCCCCACTACTTGGAGCACATGTGTGAGCATTTCCTCCACAAATGTTTTTGGGGGATAGCAAGGTTACTCCAGAAGCATCCTTTCCCCTCCACAGTTGAAACTCTGCATCTTCCCTTTCCTCTCAGCCCAGACTCATTATCTCAATAGCTGAGGATATGACTATCTGATAGGATAGAGGAAGAAGGAAATTTAGGTCATACAGCAGCACCCTTGGACTCGGTAGACTTAACCTGGACTTTAAAACTTCTGTGGTTTAAGCTCTAAAATATTTGGGTGATGCCTTTCACAAGCTCATGTTCCCATGAAAAGACCCAGGCTCAGATATATGTCTCTTGTACAAGACTGTGATAACAATGCTAGTTCTTGATAGAGTGGGCAATAGAAATGTTGCTTGGGTGTTATGACAGCAACCAATGTCTCTTGGGATCATCTCAACAAAATTAACCCAAACCCCATTGACTTTAGTGGCTTTTTAACCCCTCTGAAAAGTGCACTGCTTATTTAGGTCTCCAACCCCATGGTCATTTGGTTTGGGCCTGGACATATATATATATATATATATAGCTTATCAAAATGACAGCTAAGAGGAACAGTGATGTAGCAGCCTGCAGATATTTCCAGCATGTCAAATGAGGACACAGGAGGCAAAAGCAGTCCAGACTATAGAGCAGATCCAGAGAGTCTCATAAAAAATGCCTCTGTTAGAACCAAGCACTCACAGAAATATATTGCCTTGCATGACTGTTGCATTGGGAAGATCCAGGACTGACTCTTAGGCTGACTGCATTGGGAAACCCAAGTTCAAACCCATGCCCTTTCTTTCCTGAGCTGGTCCAAGAGCTTGAACTGTGGCCACCTTCATTTCAGGCCAATGTCCTAAGCTCCAGGCTAGTGAGACTTTCTGCAAAAAATAAATAAATCAAAATCTCACTTTTGCCCTTCCCCAGAAGGAGAACACATATTGAAATCTCCCAATGTTTTTCAAGATGAAATCATTCCTTTCCAGCCAGCCCCATCTGAAAGATTTGAGCCCAGTGGCCCTGTAAATAATAGTGGGTCAGTTTTTTAATATAAAAGTATGACAAATAGTTATAACATTTTAAGTTCACTGTGATCCTCTTTAACAGATACAAAGACAATGATACACTGACTGTGAGTAGTACTAATAGCTTGCAAGTCCCTTAATCATCATGGAACATAAGGTCAGCCCAATGGAAAGGCTATAGGGGATAGCATTATTTCAGGGTATATGCAGCTTCTACTTCTTATCCTCAAACAGGAGGACCAGGACCAAGGGGTGCAAAGGGGATGCCTGGAGCAAATCGGGAAGGAGTCCAAGGACCCAGGGGACGAGCAGGTAAGGGAATTTAGTCCATTTACTTCAGGGGCAATTTGGGTTTTCATCCAAGGTGCAGAAGGGTGTTGAGCAAATGGCTCTTGTATTGCAACAACCATATGCCAGGTGCAAAGCAGCCGTCAGCATTGTAAGACTTCCAAGTGGGGCAGATTAACTTGAATTTGTCTGCTTTGAGGTTTGCTTCCTCTTCATGAGAAACATCTCACCACTGTCAGAGAGAGAATACTGCACTAGACCATTCACGGGTCCTATCCAATTTTGCAGTCCCCCTCTTCCTAGGACCCAGTGGGCAATGCTTTCCAAGGACCCCCCCTTGCCTAAACAGCTGTTGGATTGTAGGTACTAGTTCCCAGTGTCTGAATGTACATATCTTAGGTCATTGTGTGTTAGCTGCACCGTCTGTGCAGAGAGTGATCATTTTGCCAATGCAAAGGCAGGTTTTGGGCACACCGACTCTGATGCTGAGATGATATAAAACGAGCTGAGGATGTGGCCCATGAAGTGGAAGGCTTTTTGACAATCTGGCTCTGTTCCCATCTGCTTTAGTTGTATGATTTGGTTAAGAGCAGGGTCCAAGAAGAGAACCTAATAGAAAATAGCATCGCAGTGGGTTTTTATGTCTGTGCTTGAGATGGAACAGCATAAAAAGCTGGATCAGGATCTCTTGATCTGTAGTTTTCAGTGCTGCCATGTGGGAAATCCGGTTGGACTCCCAAATCTTAATCTCCTGCTCAGTAGGTGCTGGAAGCTTTCCAAAGGGCAAGATAGGTACGTCCTTTCTAGCCTTCCCCACCCAGAATGATAGTGGCCACTTCATGCAGCTCTTTTGGTGCTGGCAAGGAGAGGCTGTGAAGGAGGAAGTGGTCCCCATTGCTTCATTAGTATGCAGAGATTTTTCAGCTTAATCCTTTCACAATAGGAAGGAAACATCTCGCAGATAATTAGCAATAGAGTCACAAGCTGACAGCAGAAAATAGGTTTTGCCCAGCTACAGCCAAAGTTAGATCCTGCGCTGCTTATGTTTTAGGACCACCAGGAGAAGCCGTTGTAGGGAAACCAGGTCCGAACGGGGCCCCTGGAAGTGCTGGCCCACGTGGCTTTTCTGGTGACAGAGGCCAGCCAGGGAAGACTGGCTATCCAGGGGGCTGCAATCTCTCTGGATGCTATGGGGCAAGTACCAGAGGTGAGTCCCAATTATTTTTAATAAAAAAGGTCATAATTTAGATTCTGCTCTATACAGGTGTCTTCAGCTTCCTGGCTCAGCAGTCTTTGACAGCTGTATCCCCTCTGGGCTCTTCTTCAAGGACAGTTAGTCCTGAAGAACATCCTTTTCCTAAGCCCTTAACTTGCTTGATCAAGCAATGAAGATAAGAGGGGCTCCGACTGGACCCTTAATGTTCAACACTTGGTCATTTCACTGCATCCGACTGCCTAGCTCTGCTCTTTACTTAAATAGCCTCATCTCATTCAAATATTTCCCCCCACTTTTAACACAAGACATTATGCCACAGACTAGAGGAACTCTCACAGGACTTGGTTTGCATGGAAAGGAGAAGTAGATCAGCTTTGATATGCTCCCCGTTTCATATCTCACAAGGGCATGGGGGAATTCTTCCTGGGAACTGCCTGAGCCTGGCTTCTGCAAGCTGCTGGCCTCTCTACCATTTTCTTTTATAATGGCCCGTCAAGGGTGAAGAGCTCTCCTGCGGTATACGTGCATTCTGCAAAGCTGTTATCTAAGACGGGGTGGCCAGTAGGCCTAGCAATAACTGCATTTCAAAAGAGCACTTGAAATGCTCCCCTTGGGCTGGACACATTTTTCATCAGCCTAGGTATAGTGTTTAAATGAGCCAAGTCACACATGACTGACCATGGGGAGTCTCCAGGATTGTCTTGGTCTCATCCTCTTTTCCCAGCCCCTTTGTATCTGTAAAGCAAAGCGCTACAAGACTTCTGCTTCAGGACAGTATTTGCACCCAGCTTTTCCGCTGACCCAGGGCTTGGTTCTCCATCTATCCCGAACACTTTAAAAATCCACTTTACTACTTTAAAAAGATGCTTCTGCTTCATCATCATGATGGCTGTCTCTCAAGGAAGATTTTTTTTCCTGCCTACTTAGCCACCAAGCTCAGTCCTTCATCAAATTGGTGCATCTTATCGACTGAAAGCATGGGCAGTTTAGTAAAGGGATTAGGAGGTTGTGCCTGCTATAGCTGGGGACTGCACTTGATGACCCAGAACGCCCCTTTCCAGTCCATGTTCCTTGGGGTATTTTCATGGTACACTGCACAGGACAGATGTCACAATTCCTAAATATACCTCCGTGAGTCATACAGGAAGATTCGAGCACATTAAGAAACACAGAAAAGCTTTGGTGCATGATAGGAGATTTGGAAGGAGGGAGGAGGGATATATTCTGAGTACTTTGCATTGATACTCCTGTTTTTGTCTCCAAACACAGATTTCATCCCATGATGGTTGGTTGATGGGCTGCTTGCACAGTTCTTTCCTTTGGAGACCTTGGCCTGAATCTTCTATATATAAACTGCAATTTGAACACCAAATGTGTATTCCCCCCTCCCCACTTGCATTGAATTTTTGTATGGGTGCAGAGTTTCAAAACTAGAGTCCCCAAACCAGACTGTAAATCGATCGTCCTCTCTTTCATGCCCGTTTCCTTTATTATCTACAAACATTTGAATTGGGCAACTGCTGCGACTGAACTGATGTCCTACAACAGGATTAAGAAGCACAGTCAAGAGGTTCAAGCTGTTAGATTTGCCAGAGGGGTTGAGCCAACAGAAGCATTAATGGTATTGAAACGTTCAGAAACAGCCAGGATGAATCTCTCATATTTGTCCACTTGTGATTGATTTATCAGTCATGGCTGTTGCTGAGAGCAGTGCTATAAAGTGCTAAAAATGCAATTTCTTACAGTGGGAGCAATTCCATGTTACCTAGTTGGGTACAATGGCACAGAGCTTAACACCATTTCTACTGTCTTTGGAGCAATACTGGGGTCACCCTCCCAGTTTCACTGTATATCCAATTACTGAACAATGGGATCGCCTCTTCCCAGGAACGCTGAAAGCCCCATGACTTGAGATGTATTCAACTAGACTAGACTAGAAAAAGCACTAGAAAATATAGAGTGCAATGGACTGTGTTTGAGCAGGCATCCCGGGCCTTCTCCACTCCTGCCTACATTGCCATATTAACACTTATACACCATCATATAAAACACCTTGTAATGCTAGGCCTTGCTTTTACCAATGTGATACAGAGGGAACTGTTACTAGATGACATTGCATGGCCAACAATCCATCAACATGTAATAACACCAAATTGTGTTGATACTAGTAATATGAAGACTTAATTGCAATTTGTTTGCTATTGCTTTATCCTGTGCCAGCTTCTTCTGCCCCCACAGTGTTAACTGCTGTCAGGCTATTGCTTCTGAAACTGGACTGACACAAAGAGGAGGACATCCCATGAACAAAGCGGCACCAGCCTTTGTACAAGTAGCAAGAGGCAAGAAGGATCAGTGCAGATTTTCAACAAAACTTAGACTCACAAAGCAGAGGGTGTACATTACCGTGCATTTACATGTGCATGTTCTTCTGACTATCCACGAGTTGTTTAGCTGTGCATACACGTGGCTAATCGTGGTAGAGTTTGTACGTGCGACTGTGCTATTTGCACCTGCACTGTTGGCAAGCGTGCATGGCTAACTCCTGAAATCTTAACCCAGGCCGATCCAAGAGTTTGGATTCTGGTTGCTGGGCACCCCACAATACCCAAGAGAGAAGTTTTTAAAAATTAAATGGCTTAGACCTCTAGCTAAATATTATTCGGTAGCCTTATTGAAGTCTGCTGCTGTTTCCTGTAGGCATCTGTCTGTCTCACGAGACAGTAGAATTACACTGAGCGAGACATCGGCTCGCTGAAAGTAATCCTCACTTGAAAGATGAAGCACAGCTTTAATCATCCCAGATTTGTATAGACAGTCATAAGCCAGGTACAGGACAATTCACAAAACACAAAAACACGATCAGTACATCCTATAAATATTTAGAATAATTTTAATTGGACTCCATTAACTTCAACACTACTAATTCTCTAGGGCTCTCTAGAACCCACTCCCTAGGGTGACTATTTGAAGTACGATCTGCCTTCTGTACTGTAAATATAGAAAAGCGGAGAGAAATAATACTTCTGTAGAGGTCGCCTTTCCTGGTTCCTTAAAAGCTTGCCAATTCTGCTTTAAGTGGCACTTCTGCAAATGGTAATCTTTACAATTTAGACCAAGTGTCATCAGGGCAAGATCCCCAGGCAGAAGAAAAAGGAGAGAGAAGAGGAACAGAAATACAAATCATGGAGGCGATGCTTAAAACAAGATGCACTTAATGGGCTAGACATACTTGCATACGTTACATCTGAGAATGCTTTGATTTGTAAAGGTCAAGGAGCTTTTGTTCTTTCTGTTTCTGCTTTTCAAGGAAAGGGGAAGAGTCTCAAAATAAGTCTCCAGGCCCTACGTGAACTTGTGTGCTGAACACTTCTTTGTTTCTCTGTTGTTTATTAAACTTCTTGAGAAACAAAACACTTCAGAGGAGGGCTGCACTCTGGGAAAGGAAAAGGGTTGGAAAAGGGCTTTCTGTGCACTTTTAGAAACAAATCGAAATTGTGCCCATAAAAACCTTGTGGGCTGTGGAAAGCAAGTCACTTCATGAGCAGAGCACGCCGCTGGGCGGGTAAGGGCATGGGTTTCTGTGGAAGACACAAACCAGATTCCCTCTTCATACTTGCAGTTTTGCAAGAGCAAATTATTTGATGCATTTATGTTTAAAGCCATCTCTCGAGGGCATCATTAATATCACTTATGGACCTGGCTAGTGGCTGCCTGATTTGGGATCTAATGAGTGGCTAGACTCAAGTAGCATTAGTTTTGTCTGGTCATTGGAGACACACCAGGGATCATGTTTTAAACATCTGGTCCCACGTGGAATATTGCAGGGGGATCCAAACAGGGAACGGATGCATTTGAGCTCCAACATACAGCTCTTGGGGAATATTATCTGTACAGCCGCTCATGTGTTACAGGTGAGACGTGAACAGCTTTGGTAAAAAGGTAACTTTGGGGAATTATAGTTACCTTGAACAAATCAAGATGACAGGACTCAGTGCAGCAAACAGTGGAAAGTCATCCTACATAAAGACACAGTGACAATTCCCAAGCACCAGGAGGGAAGATGCATTCATTCCCGGAGGAAGGAAGGAAGGAAGTCCCCCAGCTCTGGGCTGGCTGGTTTCCTGATGGGCATGACATGTTCAGAATGAGAATTGGGGAAAGTGGCAGATTGAAAACCTGCAAGTGATAAGACTGGAGAAGAACTGGGTACTATTCAAACAACTGCAGCTGGGAGTAGGAGCGTCCAACTCCAAACAGATGACTCATGCACAGATGGGATTACCGTGCCAGGGATGCCCTGTCCACCAGAAATTCAGCCATTCATTAGAAGTGGCAGCTGAATACAAATACTAACAGGTCCTTCCACGTGCATTTGGGTGTGAGAAGGGGATAAACTAACAGCTCTCTCTCTAAAACGATGTAGTTGTATTCATGGAAACCACCAATCAAACAAAAAAAAAAATCATCCATCTCCTGCAGTTAGCAAGCATACGCTGGTTGTATCACACTTTGAAGGAAATGCTTGTCTACATCCTGTGTTTGTAGTACAAGACCAGACTCATTCAAGAAGTGAAAGGGAGTTTATTTTTATTTTCGTGTTAATGGGCAGAACTTCCGTTTGTTAAGAGCCATCTGCAATACACTTGCCAGAGAAAAGGACTTCAGACTACCAGTCAATGAAATCAGTGGTGAGCCAGTTACTGCACGCTGTGAATGTCACAATCGGGTCCTAAATTATACACATGATTAAGTGACAAATTACTGCATTTCTGTAGCTATAGAAATACAGCATTTCACAATGACTACATTGCATTATTACACACCAACTCTATATACGGGAAAATGCTGCTTCATGTCATAGACCATTTTTTTCCTTTTCCAGAGGCAATTCATACAGGTACCCAGCTAGTAACTGTAGGACAGGGCACAGCATTAAGTGATGGGCGAGAGACAAGTTTTCCAAGGAGATTAGAAAAATCAGTGATACGGCTAATGCTGTTTCAGGTTTGGGGGGGCGGTGGGGACTAAGGAGAAGGCTTTCAACCCAGCACTGTCAATATAATGTGGAGGGAATATAAGCAGAGCAGAGAAAAGCCAGAGGCTGGAACAGGGGAAAGCTTTCCAAAAAAAACAGAATCAGGGCCAAAATGCGTTTCACTGGTAGTTTTTTTGTTTTTTTTTTTAAAGATGTTAATGAATAATGATGCCATTTACTCATGAATATTCACTCTCTCATTCCCCTGATGATGAGCACAACTAATCATTTTCTCTTTGTACCTGTCTTTAATATGACTTGTACTTTTCTGGCTTCATTTATCACTTTTAAATGTAAACTGCAGTTAAAAATAGTGCTGTGTATTACAAGTGCAATGTTAAACGGGAAAAAAAAGAAAAAAAAAAATCACTTGCCTATTTTCCAATGGGAATTGCAGCCTGAGAGGCTTAAATCATGTAAATAAGCATTGCTCAGGCAAGTAAAAGATTGGACAGGACTGATAGGCTGCTTATTTTACCTTAGTCTGTAGAGAATAGATTGGAGAACGTAAAAAGGGGTTTTTTGACAGGGAAAGTTTTCATCATTCCTTCATTACCACCAAAAATAGCTGGTAGTTTTTTGCTTTTTTTCCTTTCAGAGTCTGCACTGGTCTCCTAGGCAGACAAGGTTTGTTGGGTAAATGTGATCTCCTTTATTAGACCAACTAAATAGTTGGAAAAATTGTTCTTTGCAAGCTTTGGGCTACAAATGCCTTTCTTCAGGCGTCGGGAGAACCTGTAGTTCCGGGAGAGCACAAACACCAGCAGACTCTCCCTATGCTTGGAGAAAGGTGTTTGTGCCCAAAAGTTTGCAAAGAACAATTTTTCCAACTATTTAGTTGGTCTAATAAGAGATCACATCTACCCAACCGCGCCTATCCTTGTCCTTAGACCAACACAGCTACAACCAAACACTGGGATCCCATGCATTCAGCCTGTTTTACTGGCCCTTATCTTTCCATCTACACGAGATGGAGGAAGTTTTGTTCCCCCGAGGTCAGGAGTTTCATAGACGTTAGGGGCTAGAAGGGGTTTCTATTTGTTCTCTGAGCTCTTTCTCCAGTTGCTGAAAGTTCACATGGGATTTGTTGCAGAACAAATTAGGGAAGGGTCTGTTTTTCAGGGATGCATAGGGCTGTGGGACTGAAAGTCTATTTGGGAATGTTTTAAGGCTTTTTTTCCTGCATGAGATTGTTTGGGTTTTTTTGTTCACACCTCCCCCTAACCTGCTATAAACACCAATGAGTGCTACGTTTTTTATAGTCACCTCCCCAGACTTCTCAATGAAGATACATGAGGCTGTGTAAAGACAGCCCCCATTAAGCTACAGGTAAAAACAATCTGGTAATTGCTACAACCCACAAAATAACACACACCTGCTTCACAAGCTCATCAGAGCAAAGGTTATAAAACCAGTGGAGTCTCCTGTGGTTCAGTGGTAGATTTTGCCCCACAAGAGATCTGGGTTCAGCTCCTGGATGCTCATACAACTACAGCCATGGAGGCACCAGACATCTGGACTTTGGCCTTTGGATTCTGTCTCAGTGGCCTAAAGGGGGATGGAAGAGCTAGGCAGCCTCCACACTTGTGCCTAGATACATGTGTCAAAGGCCTGCTGCCTTCTCCTGCATACACCATGACTGGGAAGGAGTGATGGTTGCTGAAGTCCTGAGGAAGGTGAGCATTTTCTACCCCTTCAGGATCAAGGACCTGGAATAAGAAATACAAGGGCTAAAATACTCACCAGCTAGACATGAAAACAACAGTTAAAAACACTCAGCTTGAAACTGGTTGCTTTAGGGTTTCTGCTGGTTGATGCACTCCCATTTAAAGGGTCAGGCTCAGGAAGGCATGCTGGGAGGCAAAACAAGAGCCTATAAAAGGGCAGTATTTAAGTGTAGGAGAGTCTATAAGGGATGGGTAATTGTAAAAGAAGCTGGACCTGGTTTCTAGGATTTTTTTTATTTTTTTTTGCCAAGTGTTCTGCTGTTACCTTACTGAATATATGCTTCTTAGTGGATAGATAGAGCTTGGAGCCAAGGTGACTTATTTTATACCCCTGTGGAGCAAGATTATGTGGCAGGGAAAGTGATAGGAGCTCCATGGATTAGAGTATTAGACAATGAGATGCTCTTGGAGGGACTGATTCCTACAGCTGGAAGGACAGATTAGTTGATCTCCTAAATCCCCTTTTTTTTTTTTCCTGGAATTCCAACATTAAGCAGGATCTAGGTCTGCTGTTACTCCACTGGCAACACTGGGGTAATGCTAGGAAGCCTCTGCCTTCTTACATTGTTTTATATTAGCATGCAGCTGCAGATGATGCTGTTAACTGTCAGGGAGAAGCCCCATGGCTGGGGAGAGAATGAGACAAATTGGGCAAGACTGAAGCACCAAGGCGCAGGGCAGTGCCTAGTGGGGAGATAGCATACCAATTAGGGCATGCAATTTAAGAGGGTCACAGCTAGACTACCTCTCCAGGCCCTGATTTCCCTTTAGCTCATGTTGGTGTAAACTAAGAGAGCCTCCAGAAAAGTCAGTGGAGATGTGCCTGGTGCTCATCCATTTTTTGCACTGGTGCATGTGACTGATCCTCGGCTCCTCTTCAATCATAATAGCATGATTGCCCTTACACAGTGCAAGTAGAAAACGTTGGCACTTTGGTTCAATAGAGAGGAGTTACTGTGGGATGGGTCACTGCTTCTTCCGAGCAGAATAGGCTTGGATGCACACAGCACATTGGTTATTCCCCCTTGGTTGAGGCTGAAGCTAGTATTTGGTATTACCCCCTGGTTATCATCAAAGATTCCTTGCTTTTTTTAAAGCTAATTTGGCCAGTTGAGTCATCTGGATCAGTTCTGAGCAGGGAGTATTAAAAATATTAATATACTGGCTATATTCATCTCTTTTGAGTCTTTCATATGCTAAACTGCTCTCCTCAAATTTCATCTCATCTATCACTAGGCGGTGGAGGGGGGGTAGAATAACAGAAGAATTCATTTTTCTATAGTTATATTCTAGTTGATGGTCCTCATTTGAATCCAGGAAAACTCTCGGGGAAGGTTCTTTAATGTTTTACAACTGTCGATGAAGCCAGCAAACCTTAGCCAGTTGCGTGGGGTAATGAGACAGTGCTCCCCAAGCAATCCAGGGGCTGGCATTAGGCCCCCTGAGCTCCCTCTCATGGGTGTAATAATCAGGACACACATGTCAGCATGAGACAGCAATAGATCTGAATTGGAAGGTTTGGGGGCAAGGATGCCTAGGGTTGAGTTTGTCCTCTTCAAAGCATGCTGTGAAGCAGGCAATGCCTATAGTTAAGCTGAGAGATGGCAGTGAGTGAAACCCATTCCCCAGGCATGTCCTGCAGAGCTTGCTGGGGTCTTGAGTCCTAGCAGAGAGGTGGCTAGTCCTAAAATAATGATGCCCTGTAAAGAGAAATGATGTTGCCGTTATTAGAAAAGCCTTATGCTAACAGCAAACTAGAGGTCAGGGATCTACATTACCCACTCCCTGGGGCGCCTTCAGAGTGACTGCCAAAATACAAGCCAACATGTTTGCCACAGCTTTCAGCTCTCTTTCTACATTTTTCTTTGCCAGCCCTTCAATCCCAAAGTGTTGCTGAGTCTTTGGGGATGCTATAATGTCCTGAGCACGCTTACTGACGTGGTGCTGAATATACTGGTGTGTGCAAATGTGTGTGGGCAGAGGGGTATGGGGGAGAGCGTTCCTGTGCTCCAGGGCACTTCTGTGAGCGAGCTTAATTGCAGTTTTATGTTCCAGCCGCTCACTCCATGTTCCAGTTTTTGTAGCAGGGGCTCTGGAGGCACCGGGATTTCAGGCAGGTGGTCTGGGATAAGCCCGGCAACCCACCCCGTTGGAACAGCATGGGGCCACACACTCGGCTAGGAGAGCTGAGGGGGGTTAGGCCTGGTGAGTAAGGGCATCTTTGTGTAGCGATCCCCTTCTACGTTGTTTTGTTCAGAAAAGGCTCCATGATCAGGGACTACGCCCCGGTCTTGCAGGCTGAACAGACGGGACCGAAGCTGGTGCACGGTAGCAAAGCAATGACCTTAATGACTGCTATAATTAGGATGAGCCCTGTTCTGACTAAATCAAAGGGTGAATGATGAAAGAAGGGAATAGTTAACAATGTAATGATCCCCCTTTTCTCCCCCCTGCAGCCCCTGGCTACGATTTGGTTTCTCTCCGATACCTGGGGTCCTCTCCTCTGATACATAGGGACATCTTAGATCTAATGAAATGCGCACACAGTCTTCCAGCCCCACAGCCCTGCTGGCATGGCTCCAGCACGATCACGGGGTTTGCTTGTTTCTTCCTTCCCAGGAAGCCCTGATTTGCTGCACTTCTTGCACATCCCTGTGCTCCAGGGCTGCAGGTGAAAGTGCATGCTCAGTTCAAGCCACCTGCTCTTGGACGTTGTCTATTCTGGTGCATTCCTGGATATTTTATCAATACACTTGGAAGATGAACAGTCAATTTGGGTTGGGGAGGGTTGCGTGAGCCCCACCGGACTGGGATATAAACAGAGCATCTCTGTTGCAAGCGTGCAGCCTCCCTGTGCTGCTCTCAGCATAGCACAGTTCATACAAAGCTGCAGCCATATGTATACACCGGTGCACCAGCCCTTGAGGATGCTCAGGTGCTTGTTTTCCTTTGCTATTTTAAAGGAAACTCACTGACAGTGGACAGGAATGAATTAACATCCCTAAAGTGAAGACTTAAGGGTCCTTTACTGCCTCATGAAGCAGGGACAGTATGGACAAGAGTGATTCAACCCCTCTCGCTATTGTACCTATAAGGACCCATATGTTGTTATAAAAAAATACACTCCATGAATAGTCCACATTCATGATCCTGTCAGAAGCAGGTGGCTGAATCCACGAACAAGGAGGTCATTTATAGAGTTAGAGATGTTAAGGCCAGAAGAGGATGAGAAGATCATTTAAAGTAATTATATGTATAACCCAGGGCATAGGTTTTCACTCAGTAATTCCTGTCTTGAATCCAATAACTTGTGTTTGATTAA